CAAAAGTATGGGAACAAAATCAATAACAATGTGGAAAAAAATTAGTCTTTATTATTAGTCTATCATGCGTATGTGGATGATTCGTGATATTAAAAATATTATATAATTACCGAAATTTTATGTATGTACATGTGATCATAAATAAATATCATTAAATATGTATATGATTATTTATATGTAAAATTTACAAAACTTTATACAGTTTAATCGTTCACCTATATAATATAAGAAATAGTTCTGTAAAAAATTAAGAATTATCTAAGGTTCAGGAACACTTGTATATATTCTTACTCCATGCATATCTTTGATTTCTTCTTTAAGTGCCTGTAGAAATAATTACGATTTAAAAAAACAAAATCAATGATATATTAATATTTGTTCAATAATACGTCTTACATCATTAATTAATCGATGTTGCTTAATAGTGTTCAATCCTCTAAATTCCGGTGCAATAACATTTATCTCAAACATTGCACCACATCCTCCTATAATAAATTTTAAACATTTCTTCAAGTTTAGAAAAATATGAAAAATAAAAGGAATATCTTCAATTACTTCATGAAACAAGATATTTCTAAATTAAAACAATGAATTATAAATTTCAAATGAATGAGATTAAATATTCGTTTCACATTTTTGTATCTTACAAAATATTTGTAAATAGTCATTAAGAAAATTCTTTTTAAGAAGCACATATATCTCTATTATACATTACATCACATTATCGCAACAAAAATGTATCACAATTTACACTCTTCTTACAATAATTTTACCTGAGACATCATTAACTTCTATAACTTTGGCTTGAGGAAACTTGTTTCTGAGAATTGATATCATTTTTCGTTCAGCGTTTTTGCCAGCCAATACCCTGTTGGGACCATTCCATACCCTTGACAGAAGCTGCAAAACTTTCATTTTATTCATCTTACGCATTCTTCAGGGATTCGTATTATTTATTTCTTCTTTTAATGAGAAAGGAAATGTGGAAATAGGATGTTAGGAACTCCTTCAAAATGTGAATAATAAATATTTAGTGAGCTAATATTGGCATATTAAAAGAGAACCGTAGAGGCACTGTAAAGTCTCTCCATAGAACCCTGCACGAAGTTAAACGTGCAAATTGTATGAGAAGTGTGTATTTGTACCTACCGAAATGTTACGAAAATTTGACATAAGTACACGACCGAACATAGTTATTATGATAGATCGCGTTCTCTTAAACCTCGTTTGTTTCTCTGTTTATAATTCAACGAGTGACAGCTTTTCGTTGAAAACAGTTAAATAAAATGTTAGTCGATTAGGAGCGCACAAGCATGTTACTCGATCAGCTGATTTTTGATTGTAAAGCTACAACGGCGCCATCTACCTAATTTTAGAAAAAAAATAAAAACAGACGCGTTAGAAAATGTATAAAAATTCATATTGCAAATGTTAAATAACTTTCGTATGAAATACACGAATCAAGTATTAAATTAATAGCAATTGAAAATTATAATTTTAAACTAATGCATTTCATTTTACAAATTATTTTATCTAAACAAAAATTAAATCGTATAGTAAGAAATCAAAGACAAATTGCTAAAGTTAATTAGAATTAATTAGAATTAAAGATTTATTATATTTTATATATATTACATATATATATAAAATATATTTTATATATATTTACACGAGATTGCGAGTTACATACATATATATCCGTAAAATGAAAATACATATAAAAATAATATTCAAAGACAGATATTCCGTTCGTAATTACCAAAGCAAAGAATCTTTTAAATTTCTTATATCTTCAAAACGTATTATGAAAAATAAAATCAAATTACGCAGAATGATCTTTTGGTTAATAAATATGAATTTCGTGGAAAGTGAGGTTAGTCTATTTATTGCCAACCAATCCATCTTTCGTAACTAAAATTATAAGCTATTTTTACTGAACGTTATATCACACCCGGCATTATTTACATCCGTGTATGCAAATAAACTATCACTTGAAGAAGATATTATCTTGTTTGATTTCCAACGAGACAAGCAGATACATCGGAAGAGAAATGTCATTTCTTTCAAAACGACTCACTATACGTACATTCGAGTACGTAACAAGAGCCGTGATTTGCGATGACGCAATTGATGTAACCTTTCCTACGATTTCATAATTTTTCCATTGAAAGAGAGTTTACGAAAGCGGCCGGCCAATAAATAACGCTTGTTTCGAGTATTAGGTCTAATGAATGATTTGCTAACTGCAACAAATGCGCACGTAAACATATATATCGCAAGTGGAAATCGAGAACACGCGTGTATGCGCACGCACCATAAACTTGGCAGAGGATGACGTAGATTAACACGAACTCGAGTGTAACCTTGATCCGTACATTGCAGCCTCTCTCTCTCTCTCTCTTTACCTTGCGACCTCTGATCTTCGTGCTTTGTCGAACTGAAGCGCCTCAGGAGCACAGCAAAATTCACGTACATAAAACGAAAGACGTGTGTACAACGTGTTTTCTTTACCAAAATTCTCATGCTTACTCTGAAACTGAGAGATACTATTGCGAAATAGAGAGTCGCTATGAGGAGTGAAATCATTTCACCTTACAGGCTTGTACACAAGGTTTCGCGAGGGGCGCAGGGGAACACCGTGAAACAAGGAAGTGGCAAAGATATTATCGATTCGCCAGAGCTCACGAGTTAACGGTTTGTTTACACGAGCGTGGGGGAAAGTGCGCATGCGCGGCAGAACCAAAACAATAATAAGAGAGTAGAAGGTTTGTGGCTAACGGACGAGCGGTCGCTCGCTTTCGGTCTGCCGGAACGTTTTGCCGTGCCCTTTTAATTCGTACGGCTACGAGCCATTAGAAATCATAAACTACTTGCACGAGAACAATTACTTGACAGTCATTAGAAATACAAACACGATTGTCAGTGGATTCCTCGTTCCCGAACTGTGCATGCTGTGCGTGAGAGCCGGAGCCAGACTTGCGTCAAAACGTGTATTATTGTGCAACGTGTGCTCGAAGCGAGATGTAACACAATCGTGAACGACACAATGTTGATGTTGAAATTATTACGATCGAGTTAAGAAAAAAACAGAGAGAGAGAGAGAGAGAGAGAGAGAGA